CTTAAAATATGGGCCACAGCCCATAGATCTTAACATTGGGCCTTATACGAATCCGGGTCATGTATAGTCGGCGAGAAGCTTCATCTACTTTAGAATCTCAAGCTCCCGCTTCTCTTCGTTTCTCTGCAAAAATCTCTCGTCGACGGTAATTATCCAATCGGACAGAAATTTCCGGCCGTTTTTGAACAGAGAGGGATTTGGTTGGGTACTCCATTTATTGATTTTTCATTACCAGCTTGTTTAATCAGGTAAATTTCTTTTTGTTTGCTTCCTGTAATATGGAATTGTGTTATTTATCGCTTTTTTTTTGGTGTGTTAAGGTTGGTTAGGTTGTTTATGTACAAATAAACACAATTGTCTGCTCAGCATATATTATACAATTAATGTACACATATTATACATCTGTTGGCTACTTTTTTGGGCGGACTACTAATGTACTGTTTAAGTTAATTTCCCTGTCTTTGCTCATTTGAGATGAGAATGAGATGAAACGAAACGAAACTATCAGCATATTATTGGGCTTTCTTGCTTGAATAAGTTAAAGGTATAAGTAGTTTTCTGGATTCCAATTGCTTGAATGAAAACTGAGCATGTTGATTGGGTTTGCCTGAGGAAAAAAAAAATGAAGATAGAAACATTTATTTGGGATTCTTTTTTATTATTTATTATTTCAGTTATTTGTGCTCAAGGCTATCTGCCAGAGCTGAATGATTGTTTTTTTCAAAATGGAATATGCTGCAACTTGCAGGAATAGAAATGTTAGGCATTACACCAATATTGCCCCTTCCGGCACCCCCGTTGGATGGGAATCTGGGACCAACACCTCTAGCTCAGGTGGTAGAGGAACCAAATGATGTTAAGATGGAAGAGAATGAAGAGGAAAACAATAAGGACAAGGTTTCAACATCTGTTGCAACACATACGAGAACTATTGGTATTATTTATCCCCCTCCAGATATTAGGAGTATTGTTGACAAGACTTCACAGTTTGTGGCAAAGAATGGTCCGGAATTTGAGAAGAGGATTGTTCTAAATAACGCTGGCAATGCAAAATTCAACTTCCTGAATGCTTCTGATCCTTACCATGCCTATTATCAGCACCGTTTGGCTGAAGCTCGCGCACAGAATCAGGGTTCTGGAGAGCAGCCAGAAGACAAAGAAGCAACCCCTGCTCCTTCTACCGCTGATGGTGTTGAGGCAGCTGCAAAACCTGACCCGTCAGCTCAATTTAGACCTGTCAGAAAGGTTCTTGAGCCACCTGAGGCAGAGCAATATACTGTTCGACTCCCTGAAGGGATCACAGGTGAAGAAATGGATATCATAAAGCTTACATCACAATTTGTGGCCAGAAATGGGAAGTCTTTCTTAACAGGGTTGACAAGCAGAGAGATAAATAATCCCCAATTTCATTTTCTAAAGCCTACTCACAGCATGTTCATGTTTTTCACTTCACTTGCGGATGGGTATTCGAAAGTTCTGATGCCTCCTAAAGGCTTGACGAATAAGCTGCAGAAGAGTGCTGCTGACATGACAACAGTCCTAGAGCGTTGTCTGCATCGGTTGGAATGGGAAAGATCACAGGAGCAGGCTAGACAGAAAGCTGAAGATGAGATAGAACAGGAGAGGGTGCAGATGGCTATGATTGATTGGCATGATTTTGTTGTTGTTGAGACGATAGATTTTGCTGATGATGAGGATCAGGATTTACCTCCACCTATGACCCTTGAGGAGGTTATAAGGAGGAGCAAGATGCCTACATTGGAGGAAGAGGAATATGTTGAGCCTGGAAAGGAGGTGGAAATGGAGATGGATGAAGAAGAGGTGCAGCTAGTTGAAGAAGGTATGCGAGCTGCGACTCTTGAAGAGAATGGTGGTGTCAAGAGTGCTGAAACCATGTCAATTTCAGAAGAAAATGATCCACCAATGCGGATTGTGAAGAACTGGAAGAGGCCTGAAGAGAGAATCCCGGCAGAAAGGGATCCAACTAAGTATGTTGTCTCTCCTATAACTGGTGAGTTAATACCTATTAGTGAGATGTCTGAACATATGAGGATCTCTCTCATTGATCCGAAGTACAAGGAACAGAAGGACAGGATGTTTGCGAAGATTAAGGAAACGACTCTTGCGCAAGATGATGAGATCTCTAGGAACATTGTTGGGCTTGCACGAACTCGTCCAGATATATTTGGTACTACGGAAGAAGAAGTTTCAAATGCGGTCAAGGCTGAGATTGAGAAAAAAATAGAAGAGCCGAAGCAGGTCATATGGGATGGTCACACAGGTAGCATTGGCCGCGCTGCAAACCAGGCAATGTCTCAGAACAATGCAGAGGATCAGAATGATGCTGCAAATGATGTAAGAAACCTTCCTGGTCCACAGGCTCCTCCACCTCCCAGACCCGGTCTTCCTTCTGTTAGGCCACTACCTCCACCTCCTGGGCTTGCGCTGAATATTCCTAGGCCTCCTAATACATTCCAGTATTCCACACCTACCATTGCTGGTGCTACTCCGCCTCCACCTCAACCTCCTATGGTTAACATGATTCCTCAGGTTCGGCCCCCACCTCCTCCCATGCTACAACTACAAGGTCAGCAAAACCTCATGGTCAATCGTCCCCCAATGCCTCCATCAATGGCTATGAGTTCGCATACCCTTCCCATTCCACCACCTCCTGGATCACAGTTTACACCTATGGGAGCACCTCGGCCCTTTGTTCCCCACCCGATGTCCCAGCCCGGAATGTCTATGGTCCCGCCTCCTCCTATGCCCCAAGGAATGCCGCCACCTCCTCCACCAGAAGAAGCTCCTCCTCTCCCCGAAGAGCCAGAGCCGAAGAGACAAAAGCTTGATGAGTCTGTTCTCATTCCTGAAGACCAGTTTTTGGCTCAGCATTCGGTAAGGATAGCTTTAAAAGAACACTTTTACATAATTGTCTGTCTCATGTTTTCTTACATCCATGGAAATCTTATTTCCTGCTGGGTTATATTGCAGGGACCTGCAAGAATCAATGTATCTGTGCCGAATACCGATGAAGGTAATCTCAAAGGACAAGTTCTGGAAATCACCGTGCAATCTCTGTCTGAAACCATTGCCAGTCTGAAAGAGAAGATTTCCGGGGAGATCCAGCTTCCTGCGAACAAACAAAAGCTGAGTGGAAAGGCTGGTTTTCTCAAGGACAACTTGTCTCTTGCATACTATAATGTTACTTCTGGAGAAACATTCAGTCTCTCTCTGAGAGAACGTGGTGGGAGAAAGAGATGAATGAGGAGTTATTTGACATGGCTTTCAAAGGTTTATTTTGCAACTATTCGGCATACTAATCCTTGTTATGAATTTAAAGAATTCTCCATTCTTCTTTCATGTTATTTTGGAGATTATATTGGTCTTGTACTTCTAGATTTTCTCTCTGCAATTTAATCAACTTTATCTTTCAAGCTGATGGTTGTGGGTATCTACTACAGATTTTGGCATGTTGGCGATTATCCATGACGACAACAGGAAGTTTACTAGTTCTATTCCTATAAGATGCAACGACTGTGGGTTATGTTTATGTTACTAATTTGTGTGTCTTAACATGTGCAGTTGCTCCACCCTCTAACTAGAGCTCAGTTGTTATTTTGTTGTATCTTTTGAGTCCAAGGCCATTTTGGGATTAGAACTTTTCTGATGTCTTCTTGGCAAACATTCCTTACAATTTTAGAGGCTTTCCTTGGCAATTAATAATTCAAACTCTTCTGTGCATTTAGGACCTATTTCTGTAGAAGATGTGTGTGTCATGGTGGGAGATGCTTATCCCAAGCACGCCTGCCTCTTATGTGGTGCGTTTTTGGGGCACTTGAGCCCCCTTTGTTCAAGTCCTATGTAGCTTCATTCTTTTCATTGTTTTTGTGTAGTCTGCTGTATGGAGAAAGTGGCGAAGGTTTCTCTGATGCCTTTATTTTATCAACACAGCTTTATCCCTGTTAGAGGCTGTGATGTATGCTGTATTGGTCAGTTGTATTGTGAGGTTCTATCTTGGTAGCAAAAGCAGGTATTGTTTTTGCGCTTTTCATTGGTGTGTTCGTTTTATTGTTTGGTGAGAACCTGTTGGCAGACATCAAAGATTCAACACTTCCCTTTTTGCAGTTTGTCCGGGCTTTTGGAAGAGGTTGCAGATTGATGATTGATAAATGCTTCATATGTAATCTTTGGGAATTCCTTATGTTCTGGCAGATAATGTGCCGCCAGTAGTTATAATTTGTTAATGATTCTTAAGGGAATTGGTTTGGTAGCGCTTATATATGCTTGTGCTTTTGTCCTGTTTGTAGCTTTGTAGCTTGATCCACCCCATTTTTATGGGGTCCAATTATCTTAACTGTACTTCCAACTGATGATGACAGTACTAGTGACATTTTACAGCTAGGAATGTGATCGACATACTTTTAAGAAGCTGCTTTCTATGGGATCACGTTCTCGCCATGTGTTTCTATTTTGCACATCCATAGAAGTAATTGGTTGCAGCTTCATGTGTGTATAGCCAACTTGTGCTTGTAGTAGAGTGCTCCTTGCTTTCAACTATTTGATTATGTATGATCTAGTGAGAAGGGACTAGAGGGGTCGTAAAAGTAGAAGAGTAAAGATAAAAGTCCAAGATAGTGAATACGTACTTCATTTGGGTGATCGGGGAAGGGGTTCCTTGGTTAGATTCATTTTTTGGGAGATGGTTGAGCATATGCCTTTACTTATAACTTGTGTAAGGATTTTTCTATCAGTTGGTTGATAGAGGAAGACGTTTAGTCATTATGCCTCGAACAAGTATTAACTAAATCTTTTTCAATATTCATGACATTAAATCCGAATAAACGCAAGAATGCCACCGTATGTGAAAATACTCTTACTAGTACAATTCATTCTTTATTGAGTGAAATTGACGCAAAAGATCCTATTTTTGCCAAGTTATATATTATAATCAAGAAGGATGCGATTGCTGAATAATGTAAAAAACCATGGGTTGCCTTCGCAAGTGTATTTTGTTCTATATGTCCTTTTAACACAAATGGATCCTGCATTTACATCTCAAAACTCTATTATACACAAATGGAAAAAGCCAGTTCTTTATGGACTAGAGAGTTGGCAAACCAGCATCAGGTATCTCATTGTAGTTTTCCTCTAAATATGACTCTGTTCTTCATCTTCTATCCAAGAGAAGGATGGGAAATCGTACGTTAGCACCAGGCAACACTCATCATACTGAGCTCTGTCGTAGAGGTTCAGCTTCATGATGGACAACCTGATTCTGATTGTGGTTGTCGAGAGGCATGTATTGTGACATGATGGCCATAATCTCCGAGTCCATGTATGACTATAAAAATTTACCAATAGTTAACATAAGTAAGACAGAAGATTTATGATATTAAAGATTCATACGGCCTACCCTCAGTATCTTGGAATTGAGGTATAATTGTTGTTGTAGTAGCGCAAGTATGACTATTATTCGACAATGCATTATTGTGAAAGAATAAAGACTGTAATAACTACTCGATATGCTTACCCGAAGTCTATACTTGTAAAAGGTGTAACCAGCTAAACCAGCCCCCACTGCAATGGCTAGGAAAGAGAACATAAGGACCCGTCCAATCTTTGACGAGTGTCTTTCTGTACATTTAAGGAACAGGGTAATGTTGTAAGTTCATCTTGTTATGTCATGAAAGATTATTATCGAAATCGATGCTTTGCATCTTAGCAAAATGCAAGTTTTCACCGAGGCAGAAGTTTATGGTTAAATTTTGAAGTTGAAGCTCTGCTAGCTTAAAATATGAACAACATTTGTTATTAGTGCTTAATCAACTGTTTCTTACCTATACAAGTATCATGCTCCATTATGTACAGTTGATTTCCTTTGCACTTACACTCGAATCCGCCCCATGTGTCCTTACAGCTACAGCCATCACACTGACAAATAATTCCTTCCTTGCATTCATCTACATCTGATTTTTTTGTTGTTGAAAGGAACGACGTTTGAATCAGTACTTACCAAACACGAGAAAATATTAGTTATCGTAAAAGGATCTACAAGAATGTTACATACCTTCACATTTATGGCCATCCCCTTTAAAACCATACGGACACTTACAGCCTGATAGTTCACCCTCCTGCTTCGCGTTAAACCAGATTTAAGCACATAAAATCATTTAATCTTTAATTAAATACAGTTAAAGAAAGTATTGATTTTACTGAACTGAACATGCTGAATATGTTTGCCCATTTCTGGTTTCTGACCAGCATCCTCCATTGTTTACCGTACACCTTCCAGGTCCAATGGCTGTCAATCGATTGCAAGCCAGTTAGAGGGGGAAATAATATTTAAGTCTTCCAATGTTCAAGAGCGACTAGCAACTCGATAAGCCAATTGTCAATTAACAGATGTATAACTAAAGAACAAGAAGCAACACTTCCTTACCTTCACAAGATGTGTATCCATCTCCTTTATACTGAACGCCGTTCACCAAAGGGCACTCACAAACTCTTCCTCTAAATGTATCCTTTAAAACAAGTAGAACAACACAAGCATGAGGCTCATATGCAAAAGGTTGTTATATATACCACAATAGTTTTCCACGAAGGAAGACGATAATTTTATAAAGGTTTCAGAGAGCATTATTTGCCATACCTTGCAGGCAGTTATGTTAGATTTAGGATCTCGCCAACAGCCACCATTCCTTTCTAGGCATTGGTTCGTTTCAAGATCTATTGTTCATTGAGAATAAGCAACAATTAGCTAACTCATTCAATTTTATGCAATGTCTTGTAGTCAAGATCATGAGGAAGGGAATGGTGTCAAACCTCCACTTAAGCATATCGAAGGTTCAGTTGTTTCCTTAAATCCAGCACATATAGCTTTCAAAACAGCAGTCCTCTCCAATTTTCCTTCAAGAAACAGTAAAAAAGAACTTGAGTACTCAAAAAGAGTGATCCGCGGAGAATATTATATCCCCTTGAAGATTTATCGATAAAATAGCTACAAATATAAGCAATTAGTTAGTCTACATTGGATCTTATTTTTCTACATCTACATCATACCTCGATATTGAACATCATTGATGACCATTGTCGGTAAGATTGTCACATCACCACGAGGTCCTCGGCCCACCTATCAAGGGAACCAAAGGAAAAAGTTATGTTTATATGTAACGTGTTCGTGATAACACAGATATTTATATCTGCAAAAATGACAAAATGGTCAATCATGTCACAAATTATGAAATGATTAGAGATTTTCAGAAATGAAGATACCTGGAGGTCTTGCTCAGTCTTTAACACATCATTTTCTACATTAGCCTCTGGATCGCCCATGCATTTCTTTATCTTGTCAACCGGTAGATCTGATGAATCGAATAAAAACTCAAAGAGTAACTACTGAGAACAGTATAAATAATCAATAGTGACCAAAAAAAGATTACTCGAAAGGGAGATACCAAGCGATTTCATGACCTCCTCAGCACATTCTTTGCTGTATCGCTTTTGCTTCATTGAACATCTAATATGAAAATCCGTCACATAGTCCCACCAAACCCAAGAACGGCTACTCTCATTTGCGACTCTATGCACGCAAAGCTGCCTCAAGTTCTCAAAGACAACGTCCTTCCCTTGGTACCCCTCCCCAAAGTCCTGCTCAGGATCAGGAGCGCAATATCTCCCGTGATTTATGCACTGAGATTTGCACTGGCTGCTAAGAATGAAAGCTTCAGGACAGTACCAAGTAATATAATGAGGCGTGAACATAGTATAACCGTCCTTTTCAAGTATCTGAGCATGTCCTTTGAAGTTCTTGATGAAATTCATCTGCTCATCACAACGAACCCCACACTCATCATTACTGTTAGTCCACAATTCATACTCAACTCGCTGATCAGGATGAGGCATTGATTCCGTCCAATCCATCTTGATCACAACTTCCTCTCCCTTCTTAAGAGCTTCTTTCAATGTATCACCAAAGGACTTTTCAATCAATGCTGACGGGATACCAATCTTCTCGATGTATCCATTTGCATCCGTACTTTCTTCAGGAGAATCCATAGTTATAAGAGCCTCATCTATACTATCAGCAACTAGAACTGCAGCTGCTCCAGCTTGTTGCCCATTCCATACCTTCAATGCAAAATAGCAGTCTGGAAAAAAAAAAATTGTTTACATAATTATTATAAACATATAGCTTTATCTAATACGTCAAACTTTCTAGTAAATTCTGCATAGAAAAAAGAATATCCGTATAGTTGATACTGGCTACTCAACTAAAGAAATAGATTCAGAAACTTCCTTCAACTCCAAGAAACAGTCAACTAAGTCTCTAAGATTCACTTAGAAGCAAAACCTAAAAGAAATGTAACTTTCTTCAACTTAATTAGAAATAGAATTTAGCTCCTTTTAACTCCAATAGATACTTAAATATCAGCAATAACCTCTAAGATTTAGAATTTAACTCTGTATATGTAATCAAGAAAAAACTAATTACTAATACTTGTTGTTGATATCACAGAATTCAAAACTCATAAACTTTAAATTCTGATTCTGCCTCTCTCGATGTTAGAGCCGTGGGACATGAAGAAACCTCTAGCAGAATATGATTAGATACAGAGACAACATTACATCAAATCAAAAATCAAAACCCAAAAAATTGATCTTTTAATTTTCGAAATTAAAATAAAATTACCTCCACGATCAAGAAGAAGGATATTAGGACGATGAGCCTTAGACTTGAAGGGTTTATCTCCATCAAATTCAGCGCAGCCATTTGCACCTTTGCTAGGATAAACAACAGTTCCAACTAAAGAACCACCGTAATCAGGAACACCAAAATTACCAATAGAGGCATCATGTTTGGAGTGCAATGAATAAGGAGACAGAACACTAATACTGTTCTTCTCAACTATAAACCTTGCATCAACATTCGATACTATCAAGGAAAAAAGTAGAACTTGAAAAAACAGAGCACCCATGTTTGCAGGAGGGTGTAAAGGTACAAACATATTTATTATTGGTACAATTTGTGTGTTTGGGGTAGAATATGTATAGACAAAAAAGTTTGAAGAGGTGTAAAGAGGAGAAGAAAACAGATGGATTACATAAGGGGGCAAAAATCAAGAAAGTGTCAAGAGAAGACTATGAGAACAGAGGAGACTTTTTGGAGTTTTTGTGTGTAATCTTCTTCTTGTTGAATTGTTTACTTCTTTGTATGACGTAGAAGAAACGAAAGAGGGGGTGAGGGGGTGAGGGGGTGGGGGGATGGGTGGAAGGTGGTGGAAGGAGTCAGATCAACTACCAAAGATGGCAACTGCTCAATTTCCCAACTGATATATTAAACATATATTTATATTTTGATCTATTATGATTCTTGGGAAAGAGGAAGAATATTAATTATTTGCCGTTCCAAAATAGTTATCATAATTTTCTTTTAATAAACTTAAGTACTCCCTGTAAGTGGGTATAACTTTTTATCGTATTAACTAACGTAGTAATATTTTTAAAAAATTAAAATTTATAATATTTTTTATATAATTTAAAATTTTAATTTAAAAATATTAAATTAATTTAGCTTTAAAAGTGAGTTAAATTATTTTTCGAGAAAGTGAAATGTGATAGCTACATTGATGTCAGAAAATTCTACAGAATATATTATACCGCAAGAGTATGCATTTATCTACGTTGATATTATTTGTCTTTTATAATTCTTTCAACAATTTTATCATTAGAGTACCTTATATAAAAAAAGAATTTCCTAACAATCTGTTGGAGTATTTTATCCTTTTGAATGTAAAGTTTTAGCTTTTAATTATTGTTAGTAAAATAAATGTAATTTGTGGAGGGTGATATATACATGAATTGCCAAATAGGATTTTACCATTTTGGAAGAAAAAAAGGATAATTGTTAATCAGAAAATCTTGGATTTGGTTTTATTAGGAAATTAATATAAATTTTCGTTCTATCTATGAGTAAATGTTAAGTAATAAATATAACCTTTTCATTTCTTCAATCTTAAGATGACAGGTTTCTTTGCTTATATAATTTCCCAAATCAGAGCACTTATAATCACCAAATCTTGTATTAACCTTCAATTTTCTAAAAATTTAGTGCGCTAAAATTGTTTTAAAAAAATAAATTAATCCAACTACTTTTAAATATGAAATTTAGCTCACTGTGGTAATAAGAACATAATTCAAAAGAAGGGATGCAAAAGGCAATGTGAGCGTTATTTTAGAGTATTATTAATTGAGAATTTTGTTTCTGATATTATAAGTAAGAAACTAATTTTTCGTTTTTAGTTTTAATAAGCTTGTGAATTCTGAAATGTATATCTTTGATTTTTACAAAATAGATTCTGCCCTAAATTTGATTCTATTTTAATTGATGTTTTCATTAGTTTCTGTTTTTTTTTGTTTTTCTTGGAGAAATAAATGGAACTATATTAAAATCTTTGAATACTTAATTAGATAAATTAAAGGGTACGCTATTATTTTATTTTTGGTCAATAAGCATTAATAAATGTGCACCTTGAACTAACACAATTATTAAAAAATAAAGAAAATCCTAATATTTCGCTATTTATAAACAAATGACTGTTAGTATTATTAGTGGCACTTGCATACCCTAGTATTGTTTTTTGTAACTTATACGATTAATGATGAATGGATTATATTTTTTTATTCCAAATAGTTCATAAACATAGTATTTTATTTTATTTTTAAAAAGGGTTCCACATTTGGATTAAAATTTCATTATGATATAGTTGACTTAGATTCTGTGGAATAAGAAGCAAGAATTTAAAATATTTAATACAATAACTAAAAAGTTTATTTGACTGACTATATAGGAACAGTGACCTCTCAACCCCTCTAACAAGCTAAGATTAAAAAAGATTATTCAACTTATATCAATATTAAAGTTTAAAAAGATGTAGCTATATATCATCTTAGTAATCTCATTAAATAAAAATAAAATAATTTATCACTAAAGATTATCGAATTGATTGAACATGTAATCGCTTAAATGGGGTGTTAGATTCAAAATCATTTACATGATTTCTCGTTCAAGATCGTTACTAGAGACTTGCCTAGTGTGATTTACTTCTCATGTGCAGTTAACAGGCTATTTCTCACTCTATATATATATCCAGGGGGATTTTCTTCGTTTTGTTTTCTTGCAAAATGATCAAGGGAAATTTCACAAGCTTTTTCTAGCAAAAATCCAATTACAAGAAACTAGTTGTAGCCTCTATATACTATACTACCTTACAGACAAAAGAAAAAAGTACGTTTAAACTTTTGTGGGGATAAAAAAAAATGAATCAGGGACTTTCGTTTTATTTACTTAAGTTTGGTGGCCTGAGTTATTCGATATATGTGTTAATCGGAGATAGTAGGTAACTGGAGGAAAAAATTCATATACCAAGCTAAAACCAAATCATACTAGTTCATCATGGTTAAGTCATTAATATTTAAAATGATACTATATTGTGTGATAAATAATAATTAAATACAATTTAGTGATAAACATTATATGAAAATATGTATGTTTTGTGTATTATTGAATTGGTATAAATAACGAGTTCAAATGAATTTTTGCTCAAACAACCGATAAAATAGTTAATGTACACTATTATAAGAAAATACAATTATGTGATTTTATATGTAGACCTCGATGCATTGACTCTAAATTCTTCCAACAAGATGAGAAAAATAATACAACTAAATAAAGTATTAATCTAATTAAGTTGAGCTAGCAGAGACTTTAATCATAGTTTAAAGTTGAGTATTAGTATTTTACCCTTCCATCCCAGAATTAATACCTCTATAATTATATTATTGTCACTGTTTCCACTAGTGATGAAACTTATAAATTATAACTAGTTAGCTTGTTTAGGTGATGAAGCTTCTAATAAGAATATGATATGAAATAAATAAAAATCAGTTGACTCGTGAACAAATATTATCTTGTTACAACATGAGGTGATCATATCATAAATATTTAATGAGTTTAATTTATGTAATTATTAATATTGCTACAAGACATCTTGTAAGGTAGACTAGTAGAAACAAATACCTATTCTTTATGTGTGATGTAATTGTAAAGGTTTTCTAACTTATTGCTAATTAACGTACCATTTTCTTAATACTTCCTCCGTCCATTATTAATTGTCTACCGTACTATTATTTTGTGATGTTTCTGTCCATTTTTACTTGTCTACTATACTATTTTGTGATGTCCAATAATACTTGTCCAGTTTATAAAATCAATGAATAATTTATTATTTTATGTCTATTTAATCCTTGATATTAAATATTATTTTATTTTTCAATGTTTAAATAATTTATATTTAATAGGGATTATTTGGTAAATTATCTCTATCATTTATTGCTTCTTAATTTATGTGTCAAATCAATAATGAACCACCATTGTTGGACAAAGACAGTAATAATTAGAAGCAATAAATCGGACTGATGAAGGCACAACGACATAGAATTGGACCAAGTAAAATTTGAGTCTTTTTTTTCTTTTGGTTAGAAATAAAAGAAAAACTATACGAACTGTCCACTCTAAGCAAATTATTAATCGAAACTGTGCATCTATAAATTAATTGATACCCACAAAATCCAAAATATACACGAAATATCTACACATTTCCTTTTGTTCGAAATTGCCAACTGCTTTGTCCTTTTGTGCCATCTGCTTTTGTCCTTTTTTTCTTTTCTTTTCTATTTTTTTTTTGTGGTTTTGCTTTGTTTTTCCTTTTAATTTATTTCTCCTTTTTTCATTAGTTTATCTTCTTCTTCTTCTTCTTTAGTTCCTTTCTCTATTTTTGTCCTTTTTTTCTTTCTTTTTTCTCCTTAAAATAAATATATAATATAAAGATAAAAATGTGAGCAAACTATGTTTAGATTAATAAAATCATATGAAAATAAATAATTATATTACAACAAGAAATAATTGAGAAAAATATTTAAATTATTCCCTTATATATTAACAAGCAAATTTTGATTTTGATAATCTCTTTAAGATTGCTTAAATAAATCTCAATTTTAAAGTGTAAAATTAAAAAGAAAAAACTAGGAAGAAAACACCATTTATTTTTGAAGTGCCAAATGAGAACAAATTAACAAAGTCACCATAGTAGAAATTGCTGTAATTAGTTTAACACATGAGAACAAATTAACACTAATAACTTATCCCAACATATGAAATCAATTTTTCTGATGTTGTGGATGAGACAGCATCAATAGCAGAGCCTAATGGCCATGCAGCTTCAACAAGGTGATTTTTGTAATTAACTTGATGCACCACTGTAATCTTTCTGATTGGATCAATGCCTGTTTATTCATTAATTAATAACAGTAATTAAAATGTATGATAACAAAACAATAAATAAAAAAGAGAAATTAAATACTCTTACCAAATCCATGTACCAGCAAAGTGTATTCATATAATAAATCCATGCAGATAAAGGGTATGTCTTTATCGCCAATGTTAGGGAATACTAATTTCATGTTTTGCTTCTTAGTCTTACAAGCTAGCGTCGCTGCTTTATAGTATTGTATTGGCTGAGTTATACCATAGGGCTCTTTTGGATCCACTATACCAACCTACATTAAATTAAAATATTTATCAACCCATGACATGAATAAATATATTTATTTCATTTTTGTAATATAATGTACTTACTGTAGAAGCATAATCATAGAAAAATGAAGAGATATGGAGATTTTTTGTTCCAGCTCCAGCTCCACCATTCCAAATCCCAGCAAATGAACAATTTTTGTGTTTGCAAGGTGCATCAAGCTGAAGTAATTTTCTAATTATTGCTTTACATCTCCTAATATTTGGACCTTGTTTTTGTGATGCAGCTTTATAAGCTACTCCATTATATGTGTAGTACCCTTCAAGGATTAAAAAAAATTGTAAGTATTTTATTAAGAGATAATAGCACTTTCAATCTCTCAATTATTAGTAAAAATTCGGAAAAAAAAAAAAACTTTCAATTAATTAAAATGGGTGTGTTATAGTACTCCTTTATGTATGAAGTATGTTATGATTACTATTTACAACACTATATTTTTATCATAATAGTACAAGTTTAACATAACACATGAATAATTAAATAGTAGAATATTTAGTAAAAAAGTAATCATAGTAAATTTGTGTGTGTTCACAAGCATCACACGTTTCAATTAATTGAATGTCAAATATAATTAGT